AAGAGAAAGAGAAAAGAAAAGAGCAGAAGAAGGGAAATGGAAAGAAGAACAAGAAAAGAAAGACTGAAAAAGAGATAAAATACAAAAAAGAAAGAGAAAAGGGGAAAGAAAGAGAAGAAAAAGGAAAAGAGAGCAAACAGAAGAGAGGTGGGGAAAGGGACGGAGCAAATGGAGAAAGAGGAGAAAAAAGATGAGGAACATAAAGAAGAAGAGAGGAAAAGAGGAAATAGAGGGGAGAGGGAGAGAGAAAGGAGGAAGGAAGGAAGGGAAAAAGGAGAGCGGAGGGGGTAGGAAAAAAAAGAAGCAGAAACTTCTAAGAAGCGTAGATAGAACATCAGAAAGTAAAAAAGCATTATAAAAGATAAAATGTTATCACGTTTTGCTATTTTAATTTACGCTTTATAGAATTTCGTTTACCCTCTATTACTATCTCTTTATATTCGATTTACACTCCTATCTTTATTTTCGCCAAAGATACAATAAGAAATACGGAGTTAGAAAATGAAAGATTAAGGAATCAATTAGATATCACTAGGAGATTGGGAAAAATATAAACAGTTATCGAAGAAGAGTCGTCGTAATTGCAGAGTAAGTGTTGTGCGCAATAAATAAAGAATACTGAATTCGAATTCGATCGCATTCGATAATTCCGTCCAATAATCCGTTAATGTTATCATCTTTTCTTTATACATCTACAGATTAATTTAAAAAAATCAAAGTTGACCTTGTGAACGAAGTCCTACTTTTCTATTCAATAAGGCGTTCAAAACCATATTAGAATGATCATGTAAACGGAAAGAGATCAGAAGTACCAACATGGAATGGATTTATTAGTTAGATTGTTGCTCTAATATATTAACACATTGAACGTCACTCATGCTGGATGATGAATAACTCTTTGCAGGGACTATCTATTTATGGGTTGCACTTGTCTTCGCAGGAATTCTTTGTCATTCATTTATGAGTAATTATATAAGGTAGCATAGTGAATTGCGGTCCTACAAAATCCAATACACATATCTAATTTCAATTGGGCATTCAATTGGGTGTTAAATTTTTCAAATCAATCTCTTATAAAAACTACTTCTCTAAAATATATATATATGTATACATTTATCTATAATTCATATTATATATACTGTAGAAAATGCGTATATACGAAACCCATAATTAAAGTACAATTCATCATTAAAGTCTTTTTTGAATATGGAAAAGTATAGATATTTGTGTCATCTCTAGGAAACTCCCGTCATATATTTTTCTGGCGAAAAAGATACACTTAATTATCTATATTCTTCTGCACTCAAAAAGAATTCGATTGATGAATTGTAATGTAGGATGCAACAATCGAAACTTTGATTATAAATCAATTGCTCTTATAGAGAACCATGCTTCATTTATTTTTAAAATTAGTTTCTTTATATTCAGAATTAAAGATTAGAAAATCTTATCTTTTGAAACAAATTTAAGAATTTAAAGTTCATTTATATGTTTTACAGCTTGATTCGGAGATCCGGATTGAGATGAAGATTAAGGAAGAACCTGCTGATACTACATCAGATTTTGATGCAACTGAAGATTGTACATTAATTAAAAATTGTTTTAGCTTAATTGATCACGATTATCATTATCATTGCAACGAATCATCAATTTCTAAAAATGACGTTTTGTGTAAAGATATAAATAATAAAGAAAATAAGCATTTATCGAACATAAACCCTATACATTCAAACGATATGGACAAGACTGTTACATTAGAGCCTAAAAGTATGGAAACTAAAAAAGAAATATATACCTTATCACAAACCAGAAAGGAACATAAATATTCTAATGAAATCTCTAGCAATAAAAATATTAATACGTTACCTATAGTGACAACTAAAAATGTTAGAAGGAAAAGAAAAAGCATCCCATTAGAAAATTGCAAAACAAAACTGCGACGCACAGTTAAATCGACAAAAAAAGGTATATATTGTGACATATGCTTTCGAGAGTTTTCTTCTTCTCGAAATCGTGAAATCCATATGCAATATTATGAATTTGGAGATTTTACATGCAGAATTTGTAAGAAAAAATACAGAACACGCGATAAATTAATTTCTCATATATGTCACAGCGTGCAAAATATGCATACAAACTTACACGCATTTTTTTGTAACTTTTGCAATCGTTATTTTAAAAGTAAAGAATTTTTACAGTCCCATTTATTTCATACACATAATGAACTAATATGTTCCAGTAACGTAATTAAACAAGAGAATTACAAATCTAACGATGTAAATACGTCTCTTCAAAATGATAAAATGGACACACACGATTTGAAAACGGATACACATGAAGAGCCATGCTTAAAGAATCTCATTAAACCAGATGAGATAAATATTACATTTAGAAATGTTACTAATAAATGTTTGATTGATAATGTCATGGATACTGAGAAATCACAAATTGAAAAATCATTTGTTAATAAAATGTCACCAACTAAAAAATTACGGCAACCAACATTAACAGAATATCTTGAACTTTGCAAAAAGAAACATGATACTAAGGTCGATCCAAAATCTAAATCTAACATTATAAAAAATGATCTTCCTGATGTCTCACATCATGATGAAGGAATACAAAAAAATTCAAGACCGAAACTCTCAGAAGGACATAATGAATCAAATGATTCTTTAAATATAAAATCAGACTTTCTTCCAGAAAAAACAGCATGTTCCACTTTGGAAGAAAATGTGAAGTATGAAACAAGTTTAACCAAAAAGCCATTTGTGAAACTGCATGCAGATGTTGAAATGATGAAGTGTTTTTTGGAAAAACTCTCCAATACGGATGTTAAAAATAAAGTGACTGAAAATCAAATATGTAATACTGTTTTATACGATCGTGAGATACCCTATAGTTTACGATCTCTAAGAGTTATTTCTCCAATACAAACAAATTTAAAGTTAGAAATGAAAAAAGCTAAAACTGTATCTAAAAAATCTCAGCTCAATATGGAATTTAATAAAAAGGAACAAAATATAACAGATTCAGGTACAATAGATTCCAAAGTAGATTGGAAACCTATTATGACTTATTTCAAATGTAAGGACTGTACAGTTCTTTTAACAAGATGTGATGAACAACAAGAGAATTCTTATCAGATTGAAGCCATGAAAAATATTTCCCCTTCTGTTGAATCCAACTTTATATCGCTTCAGAAAAGTACTACACAAAATAAAATGATGCTTAAAGACTTGGAGATTCCTCTGGAACGTTTAACAACTGTTTCCACTTTAGATTTAGAAGTAAATACAAAATCAGATACTAAAGAGCACAACAAATGCTTTTTATGTAAAGTTTGTAAGAAGAGTTTTCCTTCAAAATTGGCCAAGCGCATACACATTAAATCATCTCATACAGCATATATGTCAAGTATATGTGATGCACGATATACACAGAAGCATAAATTACTTCAACATTATCTACATGAACATCTGCTTAAACAAAATCAATGTTGTATTTGTTACATATTATTACCTGATTATGAAGCGTTGAAGGAACATTTAAATGTTCACTGTCTGAAATACATTCAAAGAGAGAACGATCGATATCCAGTAAATATTGAGTTAAAATGCAAGTTGAACAAAATAACTTGTGAGTGTCGTCATTGTAACAAAATATTTTCATCGTTATCGTCTTTAGTCGCACATCAAAGTTGTTGTACAGTACAAAAAGAAATGAAGAACGAAGATCAGAAAGATTGTATGGAAAACACAAGCCCGAAGAATATTCTTAAGATGCAACAAAATAAAAACATCGATGAGAATACAAGTACATGTGATGAAAGGACTCATTCAGATAATTTATGTGAATCCTCAAATAGTAATTCTATGAAAGAATCAAATCAATGTGAAATATCGCTTGTTAATGAAAAAGAACCGGAAGTTAATCAAGATAATTCTGATAATTCTTCTAATGATAATTCCTCTATTAATAATAACTTATTAATTCAAAAGGAAATCGAAACTGTCAATAAATTACAAGACTCTGAAAAGTTTACAGAAAATAATAATTCTACAAATAATAACCAAGAAACAGATGCAACATTGAATAATAGTACAACGAAAAGTATAACCTATCCCTGCGATATATGTGGAAAACAATTTTATAATCAGAAGAAGTTGGAGCTACATGTACGCAGTTTCAGTTTTAATAAAGATATCTGCCCAATGTGTAATACTGGATTCAGTTCGAAGCGTCTTCTACAGACACATATCTCTGCAGCGCATGTATTACAGATTTCGAAGACTTATAGTTTCCATTGCGTATTCTGCAATCAAGGTTTCTTTAAAAAACATGATCTTCGATCTCATATATTACATTTACATGGCGCACAAATGCTCAATGCTCTCACGCACAATTTTAACATGAGTCAACAGAAATCTAATGAGTTAGTTATCCAAGGCGCAACATGTAACATTTGTAATTTGGTATTTGAAACTCAAGATCGTTTCATAGAACACCGAATGTACTATTACAAAAATCATACATTTTCATGTTCTTTTTGTGCGCAAAATTTTCAAGGAATGTACATGTTTCATCATCATAATAAACTTGTACACTATTCAGAGGATAAACGCAAGTCATATAATTATATCTGCGACATATGCAATGAGGGATTCAATCATGAATCACACTTTCATTCGCATAATATGCATGTTCATGCTAAAGAAGAGAATTTAAGTGAGACTGCAAAAGGATTCAAAGAAAAAAGTGACCTTAATAATGTATCTAATGTTCAGGAACAGATTAGGAATTCTACTAAAGATCAAGAAAAACAACAAACAATTGAACAACCTTTTAATGAGTGCATTTGTCAGATTTGTCAGATAAAATGTAAAGACATGAATGATATGACAAAACATATGGAATTTTATTCCAACGATGGTGATTTTAAGTGTGATAAGTGTAACAAACAATATAAAACATCTGACCTACTTGATGAACATATGAAATTAAGTCATTTTTGTCATGATGTTCACGACGGACATATATGTCATATTTGTGGCGAAATTTTTTTAGATATTGTTACGTTGAAATGTCATGAAAAACATCTTCATTCAAATATTAGCAATAATTTGAACAACTGGAAGAATTGTAATCAGGCATTATCTTCGAATACTACAATCAAGACAAGTACAAACAAGGCAATAGAAGAACTTTGTGAATCTGAGATTAATGTAGATAATGCAGCTAAATATAATTGTTTATTCTGCAATATGAAGTTCCCTACTACTAATGCTGTTCAAACACACATTGTTTATGCTCATATTGATGATATGATAGCTAAACGAGCTACTTTAGGATTTACTCTTCCTATTATTGATAGCAATGATGTACAAAAACAATTTGTTAAAACCAATCAAACAACAATATCATCGTTGTTATCATCGTCATTTGAAAATAATTTAACTCATCTTAATGTTCAAAAATCTAATAATGTCCTAAATGATACTATAAGTAAAAATGGAAAAGACGATAATACTACTACTGAAGTATTAAAGAAATTTAAAATTGTAGATCCAAAAACTAATAAAGTTATAGAGGCTACTTCAATTCCTCCACTATTTCCACTTTCAAGAATTAACAAATCTAAAGATAATATTTTGGCGTCTAAGATAGTTGTACCAAGTACAGAAACAAAAGCGGACACTCCAGTTTCTCTGTCTACCGAATCTTCTAGCATTGCTATATCAAATGTCGGATTGAAGATTAATAATCCAATTTCTCTATCTGCTGGATCAACTAATAATTTTAGAAAAAATTGTGAAATTCCTTTAAAATCTGGATCAATTAATGAATTCAAAACTAATTTAATCTCATCACAAAGAAGATCTATAATCATTGATAGATCCAAAATGATGCCTGTATGTCTTTCGGCAACCAAACCATTCAAGAATATTGCGCCACTTTGGAAAGATAATGAAACTGGAAATCAGAAGTCTGGGTCAATAAACAATTATGGTCATGGTTATTCATGTCCTTTATGCACTTTGGAGTATCCATCTTTGATGTTTTTCCATGCTCATCTTAAATATTCCCATGCAGATTCTATTCGATCTGATGAACCAATGAGTCTACAGATGAATCAAATTCAAAAAAATTCTATGATAATAGAATGTTTATTGTGTCCATGTACTTTTATTACCGAGACTAAATATAAGCAACATTTAAGAAATTCTCATACATATTATGTATATATGCCACATTCTGAAGAGAGAACAAAAAACAGTAATGCGAGTAATTCTGTAATAACACAAACAAATACTGATAGAAATACAATTCCTGAAACAATTACTATAGATGATGATGATGATAATGATAATGTCAAGAATTCATCGTGTCAACAGGTTGAAACAACACCTACACTAGATCACGGAATACAGAATGAGAAAATTGGTAAATTGAGAGTAAAACCTTTTGCGAAAATCATTGAAAATTTATCTACATATACTGCATTGTAATTTTTTTAAATTAAACTTTTAAATTTCAATTTTAATATCACAGCGTTAGATTTGCCATAAAAGTTTAAGATTACTGAAAATACAAAATTAATGATGTGTATTAATTTACAATATATTTAATGTGATCAACTATACAAATGCAAAATTAAATTTTGATGATTCGTTGCAGAAGAATAGTTTTATGATGAAGGAAATTAATTTATTTGTAATGTAACATTTAAAAATTTATAATCTCAATCAATGGTCAGTAATTGAACTGATTGATGATTAGATTGTGACTGATTGGTGATTGATTGTGTTAGAAATGAATATAACATTAGTATATTATTTAATTAAATATACATAAAAATAATATTATAAATAAAATGCGATAAAAATAAGATACGTTCATTTATATGTTTATTATTCATTTATATATTTCTTGAATATGAAGACAATTAATAAGTAGTCAGTACATATATATATATATATCATTATATTCATTTATCAAATAATAAACTCTATTAGGATTTTAAATATGAATTATCAGAAACATGTAAGTCGATTGAAATATAGTTGTTATTTAATGCTAAGTTAACGTTTATTATTTAATTGTTTACGTCTTACGATTAGAACTAAAATTTCTTTACGTGCGTATCAATGTTATCCACAGAATCGAATGCTTGCATTGCCGCGTTAGAACGATAAATGCATAAAACTGCGTCTAGATTCGCATGGCTAACATTTCGCTTTAAAAATGGAATAATAAATCTTTTGAACCTTTATTTCATAATTTCGTAAATTCTCGATTATTATTGTATTTTGTAAAGATTTACAATAAATTGTTAATTATTTTGTTTAACGTGATGATGTGTAACACCCGTGATGTGTTGTTTTATCAACGTTCTAGGACCTTCCTCAACAATTGACTGATAGAGTAGCAGAAGAAGTGAAGAAGAACTTTTAATGGGTAGGCAATACTAGGGGGCTTTTTGTCCGACGTGTCCCCCTGTTGAATCCCACACTCCCCGGTTCGTTCACCGGGGGTCTTTGGAAGATTTGCTCCTCTTTAAAAAAAAAAAATTGTTTAACGTAAAAACCTATATCTTCGTCTATTTCTCTTGATTACAACAGGTTTATTCGCGCAATAGTTATGATTAGGAAAAATCGACCCTTATTTTAAGATAATCTATATCTGCTTTTGATAATATTTACTATATTTATTTATAATTAATATATGTATTTATAATTATTTTAAAAATTATAATTGGATTATAATGTATTTTAAAAATTATAATTGGATTTGTTCATACAATATTTCAATGTTGCATAATTATAGTAATTAATTTCACACACTCAATTATAACGCTATCTAAAGTTATTATCAAAGACGAATATTTCTATTTAAGAACTTTAATCGAAAACTCGGTCCGATTTCCAGCATGGTGAAAACATACAAGATTATACTTTAAATTTACAATCAATAAATCAAATGTGCTTTTAAATTTCTAGTGTGTATCCGATGGTTTCATGCCGCAATACTTTCGTCCCATTTATGTGGTTACAATTTATGTATTGCATCATGGTTTTTAAAGTTGGTTTGTTCGTTCTACCGGATTGCAATGTGATATGTGCATCGGCGTGTACCAATTCCAAAAATCGATTATCATGGATAAGCTTTCGACCTGGGTACTCTTGTTTGAAATGATCTTGAAATATTCGTACCAGTATGTTCTCTGTTGCTTTATTCGACATGATATTTCACTATTCCCCAGTCTATTTGTGTCCAATGAAATGGTTATAATTTTCATAAAAGTTTTATAACGATTTAAGAACGTACTTTCAATAGCGAAGGATACGTTTTTTTACTTCTCGCAATTTATATCACGTATCACCTAAGTTTCAGAAAAAGATACTTTTACTATCAAATAACTTTATAAATTTTCACATTGTAATTATTTCATATATGGCAATATTAATCAATTAATTTTAGATAAACGTTACTTTAAGTAAATCAGTTTCTAAAATAGCTATAATAATGAACTATTTTTTTTATTTATAATCTTATAGTAATCTACTTTTAACTGCAAACTCGGTATTTGTTGGTCGATTTTGACGTATTCATTGGAAAACACTTGCATAATTGAATTGCAATTACACGCAGAATATACATGGGTGCTTCTGTTCTGCTAATTTTTAATTTACATTACACACATTCATGATTAACTTTATGTCACTGGTGAATCATGTTAATAGATTTTGTCGATTGCAATTATGGTGGCTTTGTCGAGCAACAATTTATTCGTCAATCTATTTGTTAGCTACAATCTGTTTGTTTATTAAGAGCTAGCTCGTAATAAGATTAATCGACTACTTTTTGATATACAAAATAAAAAATTTAAGGGAGAATTGAAAAGACTTAAATTATAATAAATAATAATAAATAATAATAATAAATGCTGGAGTGTAATATACGCATAATTGGATATTTCTTATTATATAATTTTTTAATTTTTTTTCTATTAAATATTATAATTTGATAGGCTATTTGTAAAACTTGGCAATAGTTTATGCAGATATTTTAATTTACAGCTTAATGGCTAAATAAAAATATGTATTTATTTGCGTAAATAAAAATTAATTTGATACAGATAGCGTATTTATTTTTTACTATTTTAAAGGATTTTAAATAGACAAAAATATTGTTTTTTTAAATAGCGTTGTAAATTAAATTGATTGAACATAGAATGCGTAGGCTTTGCCGAGGAAACAAATTCCATGTATAATCATCTGAGATGGACATAATACATTTCAACGACAGAGCAAATTGACGAAAATTGAATTTCAAAACTGGAGACTGTGAGATTCGTGTTTCACAAATTATACAAATCGGGGGCTGCCTTTGTAAGCATCTCCGTGCATCTGCTGTTCTGGGAAACAATGCGATATCAATAATGCAGTATTTGAATATGTGTAAAGACGACAAAGGATTTATCTTGCTTGATGTTATTATGGCGATGTGTATGCACAATTATTATATGTAAAATTATGGAAATAATTAAAAATTGAATTATTTTGTGCTTTGCGTGGTTTATAAAGATAAAAAAACTTAGAAGAATCTGTAAAAAAGTATGTCTTTATATTGGTTTTATTTTAATTCGAAAATTGAAATTTTCGATATTATTAAATAATTATCTTATATTATTCATATATTATTCTATATAATAATACTATTTAATACATTTTGTTCTTTTTACAATTAATATTTTGACTTTGATTTAATTTTTAATTCTTAAATTATTACAATTTCTGTATTTACTCGAATTTAGCGTGCTATGCGGAGCATAAACAATTCTCAAGACTAACAATGTGTAAGACGAAATATTCAACAATATTACAAATAATATTTAACTGACACGAGGCGCTATAATATATTTTGATAACTTAATATTAAATGCTGTATTCGTTATATTTTAAACTTTTACTTTCTGAATATTTATTATCGTGTATTTTCTGTTGTATTTTGTTTAATAGACTTGTTACGACTTATAAAGATGGATATGTAAATATCTTATATATCTTATGGATATTACAATAAACATTTGTTACGATAAATAAACTAGCTGTCGCTATATGTATATATGTATTATAAAATACTATGCAAATCCAGAATAAGAATTTAAAAGTGCCTAATGTTAAAGATATTTGGATTAAATCATAAATTATCATAAAAGTAATCGTTCATAATTATATAATAAAGTGAATTTACTTTTATACGTATATTTTTTCATTTATAATAAACTAAATTATATTAAACATTTTCGTTGTTTGTCGATATGATTGTAAATTATTATATTTTATACGAAATTTAATTAATATGCTATGAATATATTAAGAGTTAATTTTATATTAGATTCCATTCATTCCATTTCCATTCAAAAAGACTGTGTAAAACTTTAATTGTTAACGCTTTTCCACGATGTTGATTGCTCTTTTGCTTTGTTCGCTTTGTGTTATACATAAGTGTTAAATGTTAATATTATTAATAATTTATATTTATATTAATAATTTAGGTGTAAATATTTTATATAAAAATATATAATGTTAAACAATAAATGGCCCGCGCGAAGTGTGTGCTTGGTAATGTTGAAAATAAAAATTGAAGATAGAAACATATAAACGTACGAACATATAAAGAAGCATATGAATGTACGAAAAGGTAGTAGAAACCAAGAAACTAATTTTGAAAAAATTTTACAAATAAAGAGAAGAATATTTTTTCACTAAGAATAGCAAATGGAACGAACTCGAAATATTTCCTTTAAAAGGAAGCGATGTGTAACAATGAAAAAAATTCGTTTGCAAGAATAACGAGCATTAAGTGCTCGGGTAAATTTAGAAGCCTGAATAGACCGCGTTCCTGTCAACGAACGGCAAGATCCTCTACAAAAGTATTCCAAGTACAAGAGTGGCCGTGCTTGTCTTCGACTTGGTTTGAAATTAGCAGTTAGTTAGGAGACTAGAGGTGTCTGTGGTTGTCAAGAAACGTATGGAAAGTTTTCCCCAGCTTGCTTCAAGTTTCGTTAGGGATGAGGTGTTTTAAATAGTACAAGTAGACTCTATATACGACTCCATTTCAAATAGTATTGTTTATTCAACTTATCAAGTATGAAACGTTTTATTTATTGTAATCATTTTTATTTCTTTATTTTTACTTTGTTTATTTCCTTTTCGCACTGAATAAATATTTGAAAATTTTATCTAGATTATAAAAAAACATTTTGATCTTACAAAATTCATTTTAAAAGTATTGATTGTTACTATTTTCAATTTCAATTGCTGGTTTAATAAATAATGTTAAATAATAATTTATTTATTTCATCAATTTTATTGATTCATATCAATAAATTAATATTTAATTGGGGTTAAAATTATTAGTGTTAAAGTATCGTAAATATTTAATTTAACTACTCAGTATTTTCAACATCTCTTTCATATTATTCATCACCAAATACCAAATAATGAAACATTACGTTAATTGTTTGTTTGTATATTAATAAATAAACATTGATACATTATTAAGTAAGAAGATTATTCTTTTTATGGTGATTGGATTTTCTCAGACTTTTTATATTATTTCGCACCATTTTGCTTGTACATAATTCAAGCCAATCTCTTTATCAACTTCACACGAGACATCACATCTTCTAGCAAAGCAACTTAAAGATTTTAGGAACATTAATAATCTTACTCTTAGCTGTCTGAAAGGATTGTGAATTGGGATAGAATGAGATGAAAGAGTCGAGAGTGGATGATAGGGATAAAAGTAAAAATAAAAGAAAAGATCTGTGCGAAAGAAAAGAAAACTATTACTATTCTAATACAATCTATTTATCTAGATAAATGATTCTTGATAAAAGATATTCCGTTATAAAAGATTATGATTATTTCTTGATCGAATTTTTCAAAAGAAATTTTATAGTATATTTTTTGAGTCATATTTTTATTAAATTTTATCATATAATACCTAATGCACATGATATATTTAATTATTATCAAGAAAAAAGATATAAATTAGGTAAATTATTAATTATTTAATCAGCATAATGTCAATGAAGGAATGATTAAAAAATATTAATTATAGCATAATAACTTTAAATTTGGAAAGAAATTGTCTTGTTGAATTCCGAGAAAAATATTAATTTTAGATAGATTCATGAACATAGAAAAAAGATATCTAAAAGTGACTACGAAAGAATGAAAGAAATTGTTATTATAATAA